CCACCCACCTTCGTGCTGCCAGGAGCGGAGCTCTCCCTTCCCAATGAGGAAACGCTGCTGCTGTCCCCCCCTGGCCCCCGCCCTGGGGAGCCGCTCTCCAGCCCCAACTCCTCCAGCCCTGAAATGGGATGGGGGGGGCAAAGAGGGGACAATGAGGGTGGGGGACACACACCGCAGCCCCCCAACGCTGGGCTGTGCCTCCCTCTCTATAGGCTGTGTGCCCCCCTTGGGGGTTCCCCTCCCCCCTCATCTCCCCTCCTCTGACCAGAGCGGATGCGGGTTGGGGTCAGCAGCTCCTGCAGCCTCTCCTGCAGGCGGTCAGCACGGCGCCGTTCCGACTGCAGCTGGCGTTTCAGATCCTTCAGCTGTGGAGGGGACACATGGGGGGCAGCACGTCACCCCCCCGTGCCCCCACCCCCATCCCCCCAGTCCCTCACACCCAGCCATGGGGCTCACCGCCGCGCTGCCCTTCTTCTCCAGGATGCGCTGCCCGTCCCGGACGTCCTTCAGTTCCTGGGGGGGGTGGGCAGAAGGGGGTTGGGGGCTGCAGGAAGGAATTTAGGGCCAATACTGGGGTTCTGGGGTTGATGGGGGGGTGGTGCTGGGAACACTGCAGCCCTGGGAGACACAATAAAGTCTCCAGCATACGATTTTGGAGTCCTGAGGGAAGGATTTTGGGGTCCCCAAAAGAAAAACAAGGGAGAGAAGAAAATTGGTGTCCCTGTGGAAGATTTGGGGATGCTGGCAGGGATGTTGGGGTTCTGGGCTAGATTTCAGGGTCTCCAGAGACCACAGTGGGGTGCTAGAAATGAGAGGGGGATTCTTTTTATGGGGGACACACAGTACTGCACCTGGCGCAGCGCCCGGCCCTCGGCCTCCTGCAGCTCCCGCTGCCGCTCTGCATCGCCCAGCAACGCCCGCAGCTCCCCAACACGGCCCTGGGGACAGCACAGCTCCTATAGGGCTGCTGCATGGCTCATGTAAGGTCAACTACAGCATCCCATGCAGTCATTCTGAGGCTCTACAGCACCACTGTGGGTCCTGTAAGACCACTGCAAGGGTCTATCACCCCTGGAGCATTCCCCACAAACCCTGAGAGCTGGAAAACGCCACATAAAAGCTGTACAACGCTGTAAGGACCCAGCGAGCCCCGCAGCACACCCTGCAGCAACTATAAATCCATTTATACACTCCTACAGCTTCCACATGTCTTACAGCCCCTATACAATCTGCACAAGACCTGCTGCTCCCCCCCACAGCATCCCACAGCCCCCACCTCCAGCTCTGCCCGGTGCTGCTCCCGGTGGGCGCGGGTGGCTGCCATGTGCTCCTGTGCCTGCAGCTCCAGCAGCTCCTGAGGTGGGGACAGGAATTTGAGGGAGGAATTAAAGGGTTTGGGGGCAAGCAGTGAGAGTTTGGGGGTATAGCTGTGATGTGTGGTGGTTTTGGGGCGAGGAGTGAGGATTTTGGGGCACGGGGGCAAAACTTAAAAGCACAAAACAAGAACTTGAAAGCACAGGGGCTGGAAATGAGAATTTGGAGTGGGGAATGAAAAACTTGGGGCACAGAGGGAGAATTTGGGGTGGAAAGGATTAGGTTTTGGGGTGGGGGCTCTGACCTGTGCCTGCCGCAGGCGCTGCTCTGTGTCCCCCTGTGTGCTCTCAGCTGCCTCCAGGCGCTGCCGCAGCTCCTCCTGCTCCTGGCAGCGCTCCTATGGGGCACCCGAGGGTGGAGACCCCAAATTCACCACAGGAAATCCCACATCCAACCCCCAGGGATCCCATCTTCCCCCCTCACTCCCCCCAATGATGGGACATGGGGCAATCAGGACCCCCTCGAACCTCCCCAAAACCCCCTTGGCCCCACCTGGAGCTGAGCCTGAAGGGCATCGTGTCGGCTCTGGACCTCCTGCAGCTCCCGGCTGAGCGTCTCACTCTGCTCCCGCAGCCCCTTCTCCACCTGCCCCCCCCAAAAAAAACCCTATAGGAACTGTGGGGCCAGCCATTGCCCTATGGAGCCTCTCAACCCCTCCCCAGGACCCCCCGACCTGTGCAGCAGCCTCCAGCTCCTCTTGCAGCCGCCTCTTCTGCTCCTGCAGCTCCTGAATTTCCTGCTCCGCCTCTGCCCTGGGGGTGGTTCAGGTTGGGAAGGAGGGAGAGGCGTTGGGGTCCCAAGACTTTCTGGGACCCCCAACCCCCCCCAGCTCCCTTTTACCTCTGGGTTTTACTCAACGCATCTTTTTCTGCCTGGAGCTGCTGCAAACTTGGGTGAAAACAAACAAAAATAGTTCAATCAAACCCAACCCAATGTCTCTGTGCCCCCTCATGCACCCCCCCTTTCACCTTTCATCCTTTTTCCTCAGCTCATCCATCAACTGCAAATAAAATAAGCCACCAATAAGACTTCAATAATCCCCTCAACTCCCACAATACCAACAACACCACCCCCCTTTCCCCCCCCTTACCTCAGCCACCTCTGCCTGCAACCGGGACAGCTCCTCCTGGGGGGGGGAGAAATGCACAGAAACGCATTCAAACACCCACAGCCCCTCCCCAGAGAACCATTTTAGCCTCACGTTCCCCCAGCCACCATCTTCTTCCCTTCCCGCTCCCTGCAAACTCCTCTTTGTCCCCAATTCTCCCTCCCACGACCTCCACCTCCATCCTCTCCCTCCCCCACTTGCACCCCAAATCCCCCCCAGTCTTCCCTCCATCCTCAAATCCCTTCCCACAGCCCCCAGTTCCCCTATAGACATCCCCTACCCTCCCTACCCCCCAATGTACCTCTGTGGTAGGAACTGGGGGGTCCCCATTGGGGGTGTCCCCACCTCCAGCCCCCCCCTCCTCTGCTGTCTGCAGCTCCTTGGGGGGCTCCTGGGGGGCTGCAGGAAGGAAATCAGACCCAGAACCCACCCCACAAACATCTGCTCCCCCACCCAAACCTCTCGGAGCCTCCTCCAACTCACCCTCCATGGGGGCTGGAAGGACCCCCGCGTCGCCATCACCCCTATCCTGGGGGGGTTCCGAAGTACCCAAAGGATCCCTGGGTGGAGGTCCTGGACCCCCCCCATCCCGCAGGCGTTGGTTCTCCTTTTCCAGTCCCTCGATCTGTGCACACAGCTGAGACCCCCACAGCACCCCTGTTAAATGGGGGCCTCCAAAGCTCCCCCCAGGTCTGGGGGAGGGGGTAGGGGGGGGTGCGAGGGGGCGGGGGGGTCACCTTGGCCAACTCCCGCAGCAAAGTGCTGTTCTGCAGGCGGAAATCGTCCTCCTGGCTCTGCAGCTTCCCCTGCAGCATCCTCGTCTCCCCCAGCAGCGCCTCCACCTCCTGCCATGGGAGCACCGACCCCAGGGGGGCCCCCGAGTTGTACCCCCCCCAGCTGACCGACCCCTTTTTCCCCCCCCTCACAAAAGAAGAGGGAGAACTGAGCGCTCCTCTGAGCGGCCCCTTAAGGAACTCCTCGCACAGCTCTGAGGCTGAAATGCTGCCCCAAAAGTTCTCTGAGAGAGACCTCCCACCTCCAACAAGAGACCCAGGAGCCCCCCCCCCATTAAAACCCAGGCCCCCCCCTCATTAAAATCCCTCTCCGAAAGAAAATCCTGCTCCCAAAACCAGACTTCCACAAAACCCCAACCAAAAACAGAACACCACAAACAGACCCCAAACAGAAATACTACTACAAAGAAGCTCCCAAAAAAGACCCCCCCCCCCAAAATAAATGAGATCCCCATAAGAAACGCCCCCCCCCCCAGCTCTCCTCCAACCTCCATCCCCCGCCATCACCCACCTGAGCCTTCTTACTCTTACTGAGAGCCTAAAAAACAACACAGGGTGGTCTGTGCGTCTGTTGGGGGGGGGGAGGGGGTGACAACCCCCGGGATGTCCCGATGGGGGCGGGGGGGTGGCGGGGGTCCCACCTTATTGGCCTTGGCCAAGTCCTTATCCAATGTCTGCACTTTCTGCCGCAGCCCCGCGAGTTCTGCGGTGGGGGAGGTTAAGGGGGGGGGGGGCAGCACCTCAGAGCCTCCCGAGCCCCTCAGGATCCCCCCACGGCCGCCCCCGCCGCCCCTTTACCGGTGCTGCTCCGCCGCAGTTGGTCCGAGAGGCGATAATTCTCCGTGCGCAGCTCCAGCAATTGGGCCTTAAGGGGGGGGGGGGAAAGAGGGGCGGTCACTGCCGTCCCAATGTCCGCCCCGCACCGCCCCGGGACCCCCCGGCCCCCACCTGCATCCGCTCGAACTCCTCCGCCGACAGCGCCTGCGCCATCTTACGTTCTCCCCCGCACTTCCTCTCCTCCGGAAGTGTATGCGGAAGTGACGCCAGAACCATAGAGTTCGGGGAGCAGAGCGGCAGCGCGGAAGGCTGCTGAAAGGAGGGGCTGCGCGGCGGTCCTCCGCGGAGGAGTTGGCCCAATTCCGTAGAATTTTGTAGTCCTCCTACATCTATATTTCTATGTAACTCGCGCTCCTACGTTTACGGGACCCCTGCGAAAACCAGGCACCGTTTCGTTAATAAATGTTTATTTCCGCCACTTTTTTCTTTTTTAAGATTTCCGTAAAAAATTGAGAGGAGAAATAAAAATGGGAAGCGGCCCCTTTAAGCGAGGCAGGGCGAGGGCGAGAGGGCGGGGCTTTGCGCCTGAGGGCCCGCCCCCAGGGGAGGAGCCAAGGGAGAGGCGGGGCCAGGAGGGTGGACCCACCGCCTTAAAGCGGCGATGCCACCTTAAAGGGATACACACCCTTCAAAGAGTTCCTCTATCTTAAAGAGACAGCTCAAAAATCCCACGGGTGGATGGAGACGGGAGGGGCCACGCGAGCGCTCAGGGGTCGTCCTCCATGCTAAGGCTGCTGCGGGGGCTGGAGGCGCAGGAGGGCACGGGAGAGGCCACGAGGGTTCCGGGGGGGCCCAAAGCCTCAAGCCCCCCACCCTCGTCCATCAGGAGGTCATCCAGCCCCCCCCCACCGACCAGCCCCAGCGGCAGCTCCAAGTCGTGGGGCAGCGCCAGGTCCAGCAGGCACTGCGGGGCTGGAGGGGGGAAAGGGGGGGCACCGGGGGTCTCCTCCTCGGACCCCCCTGCCTCTGGCAGTGGTGCTGCTGTGGGGGGGCTCAGGGGGAGGCCGTGCAGCTGCGCCTGCAGCTCCAGCTCCTGGAGGGGAGGCGGTGAGCAGTGCAACCCCACGGAGCCCCCGCCCTGCCCCGTAAGGCATCCCAACACCTTTTCACCCACCCTGATTTTTTCCATCCCAAAAATAACATTCTCAGACCCACTGAAACCCCCTAAACCCATAAAAAAGCCCACTCCTGACTCCTTGGAGACTCTCTCAAGACCCATAATGAACCCACTCCCATACTGAGCCTCATCGCAACCCACTTGCCCCATAGAAAACCCTTCAACCCCATAGAGACCCCCACAAGACCCTCATTGAGGCCCCTCAACTGCAAAGAACCCCCTCACCTCTATATAAACTCTCCCACCACACACAAAAACCTCCCCAAAACCCACCCTGATCCCCTCCATACCCCATAGCGACTCCCAAACCCCACACAGAGACCCCCCCCCCCCCCCCCCCCCCCCCCCCCCCCCCCCCCCCCACACACCTCACCCCCACGCCCCCCCCACCTGCACACGCAGCTGCAGGCTGCGGTTCGCCTCCTCCAGGCGCTGCTGGTGCAGCTCCAGCTCCCGGGAGCGCTGCGTCTCCTTCTGCAGCTTGCGGATGTAATCCACCGACGCCTTCAGGATGGTGCCTTTGTTCCAACGCATCTCCCTGCAGCCCCCCCATAGGGGAAAAAAAAACGTATTGAGGCGTAAAGGGCGACGGCGGGCCCTGAAAATGAGGGGGGTGCACTCACGGGTCGTTGGATTTGGGGATGAGGGTCCCCAGCTCTTTGATGCGGTCGTTGATGTTGAAACGTCGGCGCCGCTCGACTGCGGGACATTGGGAAGGGCTGGGGGTCAGCAGCACCCCCAGACCAACACGGAGACCCCCAGGGAGATCCCCCCCGCCCCCCCATGACAGCCCCTCATCTCACTCAGGTTGTGGTTGTCCTTCTTCTGACGCTCCTTCAGCAGCGCCTTCGCCTCTGTTTCTGGGTGAGGGGAGCAGAGAGCCATCAGGATGAACCCCCCCCCATACCTGCCTCACAGAACCCCATCCCATAACCCAGAGAAATTCTTCACCCCCCTCAGACTCTCCCAAACACTGCAGGATGCCCCACGTCCTCACATACGCACCACAGCACCTCCACCTGAACCCCTTCCAACCCCAAAAGGACCCCTCCCACCCCCGAACCTCTTCCAGCCCCCACAGGGCCCCCCCCATTCCCCCAGACCCCTCTCTAAACCCTCTGGGACCACCCAAACTCACCCCTTTACAACACAGCCCCTCCCCTTCCCCTGAGCCCCTTCCAGCCCCCCCTCCATAAGATCCCCCCAGTACCGGATAGCTCTGCCTTGACGCAGGGCAGCTCAGCAGGACAGGAGCTGCTGCCCGCCGTGGGGGGGCTGAAGACCTCCAGGAGGGGCGCGGGGGCGGGCATCTGTCAGGGGGCGTGGTCAGCGAGCCGCGTGGGCCACGCCCACACTTCAAGCCACGCCCACACAGACAGGGGTGAATAGGGAAGGGGGCGTGGCTTGCAACAGGCCCCACCCCCTGCAGCCTTAAAGGGGCAGCGCCACCATACCGTGCTGGGCAGCGCGGTGCTGTCGGTGGGACCGAAGCTGAGCAGCTCATCGTAGCTGGACTCCAGGCTGATGATCTCATCAATGACGTCATCGATCTGTTGGGGGGAAAAGCGGGAATGAGCGATTCCTCATGTTCCCAAGATGCTCCAAAAACAAACTCTGAAAGCCCCTGAAACTTGGGTCGCAACCTCCGAAAGCAATCTCAGCCTGCTGGCAACAGCATCACGGCAGGCCGTGGGTTGGACACACGCAGTTTCCGCCCCATTGGCAATTCCTGATCACCTCCTCCTCTCCCCGCTGTGGGCTGCTATGCCATCTCCAACCAAATCTCATCAGAATGCCCAAAGTTACATCACAGCCCCTCCCAAAACAGAATGAAAAGCTGCAGAAACGCATCACAGCCCAACATCACCCCCAAACCCCCCCAAATCCACTCAATCTCTCAAGATTAGCCTCCGCAATCACCGTAATGTATCTCAAAGCAAATAATTACACTGCACTACAATCCAACCCCCCTCCCGCCCACAGCACCATAATGGCACCCACCTCCTTCTCAGAGCCCGCCCCAATGTGCAGCAGTGCCATGGGGCTATGGGGGGGTGCAGCAGCAGCGGGGGGGGCCGTTGGGAGGGGTGCAGGTGGGCTGGGTGGGCTGCGACCGCGGGCTGAGCTCAGGTACTGCCGCAGCTGCTGCCGCTGTGCTGCACGGATGTGGTAACGTGTGGGATTCTCCAGGTGGGTCTGCACCTGTGGGGGGGGAGAAAAACATCTCTGGAATCCCCCAGAGACCTGCAGCCCCCCCTCCCCCAATCCCTCCCATCCCAAAATACATACGCACCCTTCCCAAGATCCCCCTAGTCCCCGCCCCACGCCCCCAGTCCAACCCAAATACACCAGGAATCCCCACTCCAAAGACAACCCAGTCTTCCTCCACCCTACAACGCCTCAAGATCTCCCCAAGACCCCCAACCCCCTCATCCCACAATGCTCCAAAACACCCCTTGTACCTCCCAGCCCCTCCAGATCCCATAACGCTCCCCCCCCCCACACACACACCTCCCCGATCTCTCCCCTGACCCACGGTGCCCCCTCCTCACCTTCAGCACCTCGGGGGGTACATGAGGTGGCGGTGCCCGCTGCGGGGGGGCTCCCACGGCGATGGCAGGTGATGGGCCGGGGGCCTGGGAGGGTGCGGAGGGGCCGGGGGGGCCTCCCCCACCTCTTTCTCTGCGCTCTTGCTCCTGCGCCTGTGCCCGCATCAGCTGCTGTCGCAGCAGCACCCGTGAAGAGGGAGGAGCTGGGGGGGCCGCAGCCGTGCTAGGACACGAGGGGAGTTAATGGAAGGCTGCAGGGTGCCATAGAAATGCAGGGTGGGGGGGTTGTTGGGTGTTTGTATGTTTGTTTGCTTTGTTTTCTTTTCACCTGTGGGGCAGCGGTTGGCTCTTCAGGCTGTAGAAAGGGCCGGGGGGGTCCTCAGGCGGGGGTTCACCAGGGGCTGCTTTCCCGTTGTCTGCACCTCCTCCACCTCCAGCTGGGTCCCACTCGATGTCGGCCACGATGCCGGATTCGGGCAGCACGGAGCTGACGCTGGATAAGACAAATTGTCCCCATCGCTGCACACACAGCCCCCCCGGCCCCCAAAAGAAGCACTGCGCTCACCGACCCCCCCCATATCCCTGAGACCCCCCGCAGGATCCCCCCTCCTCGACTTCCCCCCATACCTCTGAGCCCCGACCCTCCCCCCAGTAGCACAAACCCCCTTACCTCACCACCTGCAGACTGTCGGGGGCCCGCGGCCCCTCCAGCAGCACGTACACCGTGGGTCGGCCCGGGGGGGGCACAGGGGTCCCTTCAGCCGCTCCGCGGGACATGGTCCCCCCCCCCCAGAACCTCCCTGGGTGTCTGAAAGATGAGCGGGAGGCTCCGCTGGGGACGGAGCGTTGAAGTCCTGCGGGTTCCTATGGGGCCGGTGCCGTTGTTGTAGGGCTGGCAGCGGTGATGCGGTGCTGGGGGGCTCCTGGGGGACGGGGGGGCTTCCCTCAGGCCTCCAATGGGATTGGCGTTGCCGCTGCGGGCCCGGCGCGGGGCTCGGGGCGCTGCTGTGGGGCTGCTTTAGGACTAAGAGCGCTTACAGGAAGCCGCTATGGGGCTCGGAGCGTCGCTATGGGGCCGGAGGGGGGGGTGGTCCCAGGACCCCGTTGGGGGGCTGCCGGGCTGGGACAGGAAGTGGAGGCTGACCGGAAGCGGCATCACAAGGAAAGGCCAGAGACCGGAAGTTCCGGGAGGAACCGGAAGCGACGGAGACGGAAGCGGAAGAGGCAGGGCCGGAAGCCGGGGCCGGGCGGAGGTGAGGGGGGAGTGGGCGCTCGGCCCCCGCCCTCTCCGCTCCCCCCCGGCGCCGTTCCCGGTCCTCCCCCCCCCGCCCGCCCATGGCTGTGGGCTCCGCGGCCGCATGGAGCTGAGGGGCCACATCCTGCCGCCGGGCACCCACAGCCCCGCAGGTACGGCGGGCCCTGACCCCGCGGCCCCTCCGTCCCCCCCCCCGGGCGCCCTTTGACCTGCGTTCTTCCCCCCCCCCGTTCAGGGCCCCCCCCGGGGCGGCTGCAAGAGCTGCGGGAGCGGCAGCGGGGGCTGCGCCAGGCGCTGGGGCTGCGGCTGCGGGAGCTGCGGAGGCTTTGCCTGCAGGAGGCCGTGAGTCACCCCCGATCGCTGACCTCGGTTCCTCGCCCCGACCTCTGACCCCCGGGGCTCCCCCCCCTCAACCACCCGGGGTGCCTGTGGGGGCACCCTGCCCCCATAAATCCCTATAGAGCCCCCCAGCTCCTTCCTTTTGCCCCCACCCCCGTCAGAGCCCACGGGGATCCTCAGAGACCTTCTCATCCCTCCTCCCTGTCACCCCCCGAACTGCTCCACCGATTGCCCTCCAACCCACCTCAGAGCCGCTTCTGACACCTCCACGATGCTCAGAGACCCCCCCCCCCCCCCCCCCCCCCCCCCCCCCCCCCCCCCCCCCCCCCCCCCCCCTTTCTAAGCCTCCCCTTCCCAACTGAGGCCCTCTAAAGCCTCCCCCAGCCCTTCCCTATGTCCCCCCACACCCTCCCAGGCTCCGACTCCCTCCTTGCTGCCTCCCGAAGCCCCCCCACCCCCCCCCTCACAGGAGCTGACAGGGAAGCTGCCCCCCGAGTATCCCTTGGAACCTGGAGAAAGACCCCAGCCCCCCCCGCGGCGCCGGTCTGCAGCCCCCCCGCGAGGACCCCTCACCGAGGTAAGCTTGGGGTTCAAAGTGGCCCAGTGGGTGCCTAGGAGGGGCCTGGGATAAGGGGGGAAATAGGGCACAAAACGGGTTGGGAGCTGGAATGGGGGTGTTGGGGCAGATTTCGTCAGGCTGAGGGCGCAGCAAACGTGGCATAAAATGTCCTCACTCCCTGGGGACCACGTTGGGATCCACTGGGCGCCCACAGCCCCTTTTGGGGGTCCCCAGACCCCCGTGTGCCGCACGGCAGCAGCCGCTCCCGGCAGCGCTGCACCCCGCCGCCGCTGCGATGTCCCGTCGCCGCCAGCCCTCTAGGGGGCGCCATCGCGCTGCGGCCGGCGCTCGGGGCTTAATGGCGTCCGCAGCGCCCGATGGGGGGCGCTGTAAAGTGACGTCATTATGGCGGCGCCCGCGGATCGCAATGGCGGCCCCCAGCGGCCGGTGATCTCGGCCTTAACGTCCCGTTCCCGTCCCGCAGGCGGCTCGGGCGGCACGGCGGGAGGTGGCGGTGCAGCTGCAGGTGGTGGAAGCTGCTCGGCGTCTGGCATCCGCCCCGGGGCTGCCCCCGGAACAGCGACGGCGTCGGCAGCGACTGCAGGCCGAGGCGGCCCAAAGGCTGCGACAGCTCCGGGCACAGCTGGGTGAGCAGGGGGGGCTGAGATGGGTCCTGGGGGCAGCGGGGGGATCCTAGGGAAAATAGGAGGGGTCCTGGGGCAATGGGAGGGGTCCTGGGGCAACGGTGGGGGCCTGGAGGCAATGGGAGTGGTACTGGGGGCAATGGGAGCAGTCCTGGAAGCAGTGGGGGGGTTCTGGGGAAAATAGGAGGGGGCTTGAGGGCAACGGGAGCAGTTCTGGAAGGAATGATGGAGCCCTGGAGGCGATGGG